CTTTAATTTTATATATGTTTAAAGGACGCAGTATTTCCGGAACATTTTCAAAAATTAAGTTGAAAAAGTTATTTTTTGTAAAAAAGTTACTATTTTAAATCCTCCCAGTGAGCAGAATAAGTGTTAGATTTTCAAAAAAAATTATATCAAATGAAAGGGAAATATCTAAGGTTTCAATACAAAAAAATATTATTTTTATTTGTTCATTTTTGAAAAAGTTATGGCAGTTTTAAGTACAAAAAACATCCCGATAAAATGTAATTTTTATCGCAAATATTACATTTTTTTTAAAAATTTCGATAGCCATTTGCACATAGAAGATAAGATGTCGGGACAAATTTTTTTTTTTCATTTGATAGTATATAACATAACCTTTGATTTGATATATGTTTAAAGGACGCAGTATTTCCGGAACATTTTCAAAAGTTCAGTTGAAAAAGATCTATGTTTTTTACAATATTTTAAGTTTTGAACGCCCCCTATATAAGGGGAAATTGTCCAATTTTAATAAAAAGTATGTCAAATGAAAGATGTACTTATAATGTATTTAGAAAAAAAAAATTTGTGCTGATATATACATTTTTCAAAAAGTTATAGCATTTTTAAGTTGAAAATTTAAAATCGAAAATCGAAAATTTTAACACAAAAATAGTGTTTTTTTAACTACGGCAGCCGTTTAAATGTAGAAAAAAAAGTGTCGGGACAAATTTTTTTTTTTCATTTTGTAGTACATAAAATAAGCTTTAATTTGATATATGTTTAAAGGACGCAGTCTTTCCGGAACATTTTCAAAAATTAAGTTGAAAAAATTAATTTTTGTAAAAAAGTTGCCATTTTAAATCCCCCCCAATGAGCAGGTTAAGTGATAGATTTTCAAAAAAATGATATCAAATGAAAGGTAAATATCTAAGGTTTTAGTATAAAAAAAAATTATGTTGATTTGTTGATTTTTCAAAAAGTTATGGAAGTTTTAAGAAAAAAAAGTGAAAAAATTTCGAAAATTAGCGATTTTTAAATTTGTAATTTTTTTGGATATTTCCCCCATTTGCGGGGAACGAGGGAATTTTTTTCAATTTTTAAGGGTAATGTCTTCAACTAGATACGATTTGTGATCTTTTGACGTATTTTTGAAAGAAATTGGTCCAGTGAGAGCTGAGAAAAAGTGGCAACAGACATAAAAAAAAAAAAAAACACATCATAGTAAAATTAATACCTTCTCCGCTTCGCATCGAAGCTAAAAAATAATTGTGAAACATTTAAAACTATTGTAATATTTTCTTAAATTTGAATAATTTTAAAACTATTAAATAAAAAAATCTAATATGTTTATATGTGAGGTATAGTGTGAAAATCTCAGCATAAGGTAAGCAATAAATTACTAACTTTTTTTTTTTTAGTTGGGGAACTAACATAGTTTATATAGGATTTAATTTAGTGAAAAGTACTTTTTTATATATTTTTATATTTACACGAACAATTTTTTAATTTCAACAAAAAGATATTTAAAAAAAAACCAGCACAAGGGGGTTGTGGCACAGTGGTGACGTGGCATAGTTGTGTCAAGTATAATGATATCTGACAGTGATTAAAATCACTATCATTAGAAACGCTTCGATACAAATCTTTAGATAGTGTTTAATTTTAAAAAATTGGTGAATTACTCCAAAAGTTACATGATCTACTATTTCTTTATTTATATCCTGATTAAGATATAAATTAAGTATATCGAATAAAAGAGGGATATAAATATTATTAACTAGATACAATTTGTGATCTATTGTTGAGAAAAATCGGTTCAGTGAAACCTGAGATAAAGTAGTGACAGAAACAAAAAAAAAAAAAAACCAGCACAGTGGGGTCGTGGCATAGTTGGATCCAGTATAGATTAAATCTGAGAGTGATTAAAATCACTATCATAAAAAACGCTTCGATGCAAATGTTTAGATAGTGTTTAATTTTAAAAAAATGGTCGATTATTCCAAAACTTACATGATCTGCAAGTTCCTTATTAATATCCTGATTAAGATAAAATATGTCGAATGAAAAAGGGATTATTAAAAAATATTATTTCTCATGAAAAAATTGTATTGATCCATACATTTTTCAAAAAGTTATAAAAAAAATTGAAAAAATTAGTGATTATTAAATTTGTAATTGTTTTTGGAAATTTCTTCCATTTACGGGGAACGAGGGGAATTTTTTCAATTTTTAAGGGTAATGTCTTCGACTAGATACGATTTGTGATCTTTTGACGTATCGTTGAAAGAAATCGGTTCGGTGAGATCTGAGAAAAAGTGGTAACAGACAAAAAAAAAAAATAACACTTTATAGTAAAATTATTACCTTCTCAGCTTCGCATCGAAGCTAAAATTATTTAATGAAGAAAATGTCTGGTTGATGAAAACTTTATTAAGTGTGGGCTGTTATTCTTATCATTATTGTGGCGAAGTCTTTCTTCACTTTTTATTTAAAAACGTTAATAAAATCTTAAATACAACTTTTTTTATTTTATTATTTAATTAAATGTATGTAATCATATGAAATATAAAGTTGAAACGCTTATAAGATATAAAATTCAAGTTAAAAAAAGAAATACTTAATTATTAATAAGTCTAGATTTATTTATAATTTAAAGATACCATACATAATTTTCTTAGTATTATTATTTTAAGAGATATGTAGTGGCTAATATTGAAAGAATCACCTTGTATATATCATCTAATAACTTATAATTTCTCCGTAAATATTACTATACTTGATTATTATGTAAACATAATTGAATTACTAAAATTTATATACATAATTTTGAAAAATATTTTCATAATGTCGTTATGAAACTCTTGTGTGAATTTGAATAATTAAGTTACAAAACGTGGACATTTTACAATTTACTTCAAAATTTCGAACGGTCGTAAAATTGTAAAATAAATTTACAGTTATGAAAATAATTTTCTAATAGTACAGATTAAGAATTATAAAATAAAATAAAATCCAAATATATTAAGAAATTAACAGCGTTAGAATATTTTCCATGTTATATTTTATAAAAAACAGTATCGTTAATTCGAACAAACTTTACTAGTTTTTAATAAATATTTAAAGATTTTTTGAAGGACTATGCAGATTTGTAGTTTAGGGTTTGAGGAAGAGGAGAAGGATCAAAACTTTAGTAATTTTATAATGAAGTTTAAAAATATAATTAAGTAAAAGCAGTAAAACTTTAGTTATGAATACCCTCCTTGAAAAATTGTGAGAATCTTTGTGATAATCATTTTTATTAATGATAATGATTATTTATTAAATTATAAGTAGAATAATTATTTAATCCAGATACCAGTAAAAACATTTACGATAATTTAATAGTATAATTTATTTAGATACTTTTATAATAGTAACGATAATTAATTTGACATGTTTTATGAAAAAGATTATTTTATTTTAATGTTAACATTTTATAGAAGTATGTCTATAAATGGTACATATTGTATTCTGGTACAGTAATAAATAATTTAGACCTTAGATCATCAAGATATTATGATACTATCAAAGATGTGAAACATAACAATTTTTTAGAAATATAAATAAAACAAAATTATATAATTTTTATAATTAAATTAGTAAATTATTTAATAAATAAAACAGTAAATGGTAAATTAAATTAATTAATCAATATAACAATTGTGCATTCATTTGTTGACAAACATACTTCTGATTGGATTATTTATGTCATTCGTCTAATAATAAAAGTTGAATTCTTTTTTTAATATCGAGCAGAATATTTTGAACAATTGATCCTCAATCATCTTTTGTTGGTAAGTCTTGAAATAAAATTATGAATTAAAAATTATAATCTTAATTATTGCCACAGTTAAATTTTAATCCAATCATCTTATAACTAAAATGATTTTAATAATTTATGATAATATTTTAATTCACCCTTGTATTTTTAATTTACATTTGAATGGTTTTTGTGAGAATTTGGTCAAATCAAAATCGGTAATTATTCAGAAAACGATTAACGCGAGATACATTAACCGGGTTGTAATTATGAATATTAAAGTTCAATTAGCAATAAAATAATAACCAAATTACTTATGGAAATAACATCAACACTTCTTAACGCATTATTTAATAATTTGACTTGATCTGCTTCTTAATAATATTCCATATATAATATGTAAATAATATTTTATATCTTACATGCATGCAATGATAACAATGTGTGTATATATTGTACATAGTCAATTTATTGAAAATCGTTCTACCTCTATTTCTTTTCTAAGAATATTCATTTTTCAATGGCAGAAATTTATTATGGATAAATAACTAAATAATTACGGATAAATGCATTTATTATTAGTGGTTTTCTCAGAAATTTGTATATGACCTCTATAGTTCGAGATATATTTTTAAAAGTTTACGTTCCATCATAAAGAGAAACGATTTTAGATCTTTAAAATGTAAAATCTTATGATTAAAATTGTTATCAATATTTTAATAGCTGATATAATTAAAAATTTAACAATTAATTCACATGTAACTTAATGTTAATAATTTTTACTTACTACTACCACCATCTACAACATCTAAATATAGTAAAAAATTATTATTATATTAAATAGCTAAAAAAGTACTAAAATTTAAAATTATTAATTATGTAGTCATATTAGCAATTTCTATTACTTAGAAGGTTTTTACATTTTTATTCAAATTAATAGTATAAATTTGGTTTTATTTTATTTTATTAATCTGAGTCAAAAGGGCTGTAATCAATTTACACCAAAATTATTCATATTTAGTACGTTCCTGTTTCAGTAAAAACTAGTAATACATGGCTAAAGGATTTATTGGAGAGTTTTGGAGCCACTAAAAATCGATGAATAAATATTATAAATATAGCATTTTTTGCATTTTAAAGATTGTAAAAATGAATTTTTTTGTTAAATGTATTTTTTTAAATTAAAATTACATAAAATAATTGATTGTGTCTACATAATTGTAATTTTTATGATATTGACGATTCATTAGTAATCTATTAGCATTAGAGCAGTGAAAATATTTAATTTTCTAAAATAATAATTATTTCTTTAATTGAATTTCGGCATAATGGACTTCTACTTTTATTTCGCAACCAACTATTTTATAACATGTTTTTTGCGCTATCACAGGCAAAGAAAAATATGAAACAAAATCTGCAATTACTATAGATTTTAAAATGTAAAGTGAACCAAACTTAAAATTAATTATTCACTTGATAGTACGATCATATTTTAATAGAAAAAATTAATATATTAAAATAGGATATTTTGTGGTTGGATCTAGATATTTACTGCCTGGATCCAGAAGGAGTGGACAGGCTTGTACCTTTGAAGGAAGGTCGTTTAGAATCACTAGAAATCAATGATGATAATAATATATTAAAAATATTATCTTAATAAATTATATTATTATTCAAATGAACTTTTTAGTCGCATCTATCTTAATGTTAGTAATTTATTGCTTAACTCCTGCTATGGTATTAGCACTATATCTTACACCTAACACAGTAGATTAGTTATTTTATTTAATCTTTTTAATAGTATTCAAATTTAAGAATGAATTATATTATTAACTGATACTAATAAATTATAATGATAATATATTTTATTGTTAAATTACTAAAATATTTAAAATTATTTAGAGGTTTAATTTTTTGTTAATTGTTTTTTTTTCAAAATTAAACAATAATCTGTATTATTGTTGATAACTATAAATAATATTTTTATTTAAATCTTTTATGATAAACATTACTCTGCACAATTTCATTTTCAGAATCTGTGCTATCCAAGTCTGTCAAAAAAAAAAAAAAATCATCGTTATTTTGTCAGTAGTTATTAATAATTTTATAGCTAGACAGAAGTAGGGGCGAGACTGAATAATCCGCGATTAAAAATTAAACGTATATCTGAGTTATTGTGAAAAAATATATCTTATATTTTATTTAATTATTATAAGATAAACATTACCGTGCATAATTTCATCTTCAGAATTTTTGTTATCCAAATCTGTTAAAGAAAAAAAAAATAATCATTGTATGACAGTTATTAATATTTTTATACATAGGCGGGAGTAGGAACGAGGACATTAAATGTCTACTGATAAAAATAGCTGCACCAACGCTTCAAACACTGTTATTTTTTAAATTAAAAAAAAACTTCTTATATACCGGTCCGAAAGTTACTATCGACCAGTCATTTAAAAATAATTTTTTATTTTAAAAGCTTATAGGTATGTTGCCATTGAATAAAAATAATTAATTTTATTTTTATATAATGGCAATTTATATAACAATTGTCAATTGAAATTGATACAATTTTAGTTTTTTTATTTATATTATAATAAAACACCAGATAATTTTTTTTTGTATCTTGTGTCTTATATAGTTAAAGAGTGTGGATTGCATTAGTTGGTGTAGAGTATTAAAAGTCACTTTAGCATTTTCTAGAACTGCTCATCAAATTTCTATCATTAACACAATTTGTATATATTCATATAAAAAAATATTAATACATAGTAATTAAAAAACGCAAAATAAATAATTTATTTTCTACATTTTTTTTTTTATTTTATATTGCTAAAAGTAATTTGCACTGTAATAATGGAATGTTTAAAAAAATTTTCTATTGTTTTTAAAATACAATTCATTGATAATATAATTTAGTAAAAATTAGTAATATATTTTTTTACACGACTTGCACATTTTTGTATATAGTCCAATTATTTATTCATTAAGCTACTACCATACAAAAATTCAAAATCTTCAGCGATTTCAGACATTTTTTAAAATCGATTTTTTTAGTTCAGTAAGAATTCGGCAATAAACTTGACATATATCTTTTTTGAATTCACTTTGTTGAGATAATACTTGCATATCGTCTTCATTAATTCAAAGTCTAATATTTTTAGTTTTCTCTTTCGTTTATCAGAAAATGAACCAAGACATTAGCTAACACTTATCCATATTCAATTGACTTATAATACTCAGTAAAGTAACTTACATTATATTTATATATTTATAAATGAGTATTGATACAGCAGCGTGATAACGATAATATATTCTATTAATTATATGCATAGCCAATATATTTTACAGCCTGGTATTTTGCTGAATTGTTCCTTCTACATCTGAGTTGTTCGATAATAATATTCAGTTATATATATTTTTGTAAGTTGAAAAATAGCGTTATAAGTAGTCAACTAAATACAATTTTCGACCAATTAATCAAAGTATTTTTTTTTATTTTTTATTCATAAATATGCAATTTTTACAATAAACACAATAAGCATATATGATAAAAGAAGAAATAAATCTAACATAATATATCATGATAACAGATATCATAATTTTTAACAAAAACTATTCATTTTATTATTTTGCATCCAGGGCCTAGGCACCGCTGACCCCCCTATCTACTATAACCCTGAAAATACATCAGTCACACAAAAAAAAAGTAAAAAATAATTAAAATTTTCTTTTTATATTCCCTCAATCGCCTCCATACCATAACAGGGCAAAATTAGTGTCACTAATAACTACTGAATTACTATAAATTAAAGGTGATTGTGTCATAGATAGCTATATAAAAAGATACAAAAAACCTATTATTCTCTATTCTAGGACGAAAAGAATCGGTTAAAATTTAAGTAATTAATTTACCAACATTTTTAATTATATCCATTGTTTAAACTTAACTGAAGTACCAACTACATACATATTACTAGTTATTATTATTATAAAATTCATATAACACAAAAAAGTATATAAATTGATATATAAAATTTTTTCATAATGTGAATAAATTATTAACTGCAAATGTGATACTCGTAAGAATTTAACGTTAAATAAGAGGTAGCATTCGAAAGAATATCACAATAAAATGTTAATNCGAAAGAATATCATAATAAAATGTTAGGATATTTTATTATAATTACATGTTCATTTTGTTTTTTATGTGAGTATTGTCGCCTTTATTATTGAAAATAATATGTAACGTACACCATAACAATCATTAGTAGAATGATGTGCTACTCCAAAATAATATATTACGACCGTACAGGTGCCGCATGCTATCTGGAATTAGTGACAGGGGGTGATTGAAGAGTTTGGTTGTAAAACATCTAAAAGCGCATTCTCTCGGTCATATAGTTGTTTCGTTTGCCCGTATGGTGTCCTCTTAATGTTTTATATAGTATTTTAAAATTATAATAAAATTTAAGAATGAATTATAATATTAACTGTTACATATAAATTATAATAATTATTAAATTTCTGAACCATTAAAAATTTATTTTTTTGTTAATATTTTTATTTGAAAATAAATGTTAATACGTTTAATAGTAACACAATTAACAGAATAACATATTCGCCTTATAATAACCTTATATAAACTATGAAAGTTACCCAACTCATTAAAAATAATACACAATTTATTAAAAGAAAAAGAAAGTACATAATTTAGTACTTCATAATAGAGATATATAAACGCAATACTCAATTGATAAATATGAAATTAATTAGAATCAAATTTAAAATAATTTATTCTTTGATAGTACGTTAGTTGCAGCCGCGACATAATAGTGTAATGCACACGTTCATATCTATTTATTAGTACTTGAAATCAAGGATCATAAATTTTAATTCATACACATATTATTTTTGTGTTTTATACAAGGTCATCAATATTCACTAGTCTTTTAACATATAAAACAATTACATCGCTGTTATTTTGAAAGTAAAAATATAAGTTCCCATATTAGGTTCGATGCGAAGCGGAGGAGGTATTAATTTTACTATGATGAGTTTTTTTTTTTTTTTATGTCGACGCATTGAAGCGTTTTTTATGACAATGATTTTAATCACTGTCAGATATCATCTATACTGGACCCAACTATGCCACGACCCCACTTTGCCGCCACTCCACTGTTTTTTTTTTTTTTTT